AATAGTAAAGTTGGAAGGGACCTTGAAGGTCATCTAGTCCAACCCCCTGCTCAGGCAGGAAACCCTATACCATTTCGGACAAATGGCTGTCCAGTCTCTTCTTAAAAACTTCCAGTGTTGGAGCATTCACTGCTTCTGGAGGCAGGTTGTTCCACTGGTTAATTGTTCTAACTGTCAGGAAGTTTCTCCTTAGTTCTAGATTGCTTCTCTCCTTGGTTAGTTTCCATCCGTTGCTTCTTGTCCTGCCTTCAGGCGCCTTGGAGAATAGCTTGACTCCCTCTTCTTTGGGGCAGCCCCTGAGATATTGGAACGCTGCTATCATGTCCCCCCTCGTCCTTCTCTTCATTAAACTAGACATGCCCAATTCCAGCAACCGTTCCTTATATGCTTTAGCCTCCAGTCCCCTAATCATCTTTATTGCTCTTCTCTGCACTCTTTCTAGAGTCTCAGCATCTTTTTTACATCGCGGTGACCAAAACTGGATGCCGTATTCCAAGTGTGGCCTTACCAAGGCCTTGTAAAGTGGTATTAACACTTTACGTGATCTTGATTCTATCCCTCTGTTAATGCAGCCTAGCATTGTGTTGGCCTTTTTGGCAGCTGCAACACACATCTGGCTCCTATTTGTCTGAAATGGGTATAGGGTTTCCTGCCTGAGCAGTGGGTTGGACTAGATGACCTCCAAGGTCCCTTCCAACTCTTGTTATACTGTTATTTTTTTAAGTGGAGATGATCCAAAGTGTTTCCATAACAATCACTGCCTTCTTAAAGATAATCAGTGCTTAAATTCCTTGCTTCTGGCAAATGTTTTCGGGACTTTTGTTTTTTTTTTCCCTTCCTAGATGGTTGCTTTTGTTCTTCTAACCTCCTTTCTCAGTGTGAACAGGTGGGTGCAGGTTGAACAAAGCATCACCTTTTGTGATGCATTATGAGCTCGATTGGCTGAAGGTGGGGAATGACTCACTCCTGCACATTTGGGGGGTGGGTGGGGGAGAATGAGGGAGAGAAGGCAGAGAGGCTGCCCAGTACTCAGCC